CATGTTGTGTTCACTTGTGTTATCTTTTACTAATATTTAAATTTGTTTGATGATCTGAAACATTAAAGTGTGACAAACATGCAAAAAAATAAGAAATCAGGAAGGGGGCCAACACTTTTTCACACCACTGTATATTATCGCTCGTAATGAAAGCATTAAATTTGAAAATAAATTCACATTAAATACAGTCAAGCCATCTATATAACTGAGTAAATAAACAAACTTTATATTTTATAACAAATTTTATATTTTATAATTTTTTTGATCAGTTTACTGAAAATTAACCATCCAAACAAAGTGATTTGCTTAAAAGAAACTTGTTTGCTTGCTTGCTTGTAAGGCCGTGTCCAAAACAAAATACAATTCAAGTTTTGCCTATTTAGAACAACCAGTGTTTACTATTGTTAAAGCGTTACGTTACGGTGTTTTTACAACAAATTATAAAAAGTACTAATATAAAAAACTTAGGATTGCAACTTTGAATAAAAAGAAAGCATAACATGCACTAACCATGATACATGTAGACATTTCTAAAGCAGCTCTGGTATTTAGCATGAAGGGTCTAAATGTCAGCATGGGAAAGAAAACAAAACTTCTTCAAGTAGGGTCAGTTCTTCCTTTTGCACCCTGATGGTTAATGTGACATGGATGAGCTGTCTTAGATCGGCACGTTCACTCTTACGGCTCGTGCTGAATACTGGTTTAACCTGAGGGATGTGAAACTCTCGGAGAAGATCACTGATGCAGTTTAGAGAACTGAGATACGAGCAGCTAAAGATCTCAAACTGAGCACTTTAGAAATAAAGGGTGGGATTCGATGGAGAATTGCAGTCAGATGGCAGAGTTCAAGTGTTTGGCTTTTAATAAGAGTGCATGTGCGGGAAATTTCCACTGGCAGAGGTGCTGCCAACTCAGAGGAGGCGGATCGCAGCACGCTCACAACAACAGAGTTCAGACTGTACAAACTACTCATCATTACAAGTAGTTCAACTACAGGAAAACTACCCTCTAAAAGGCAGTTAAAGTAGTTTAAAAAGTTGTGAAGTTACTTGAAGTTCTCTACATTGCAGTGATTTAAAAGGGCAATAACATTTTAGATTGCACAATTTATATAAATAACAATCTGTATTTACTTGGCCTAAAAACAATGAGGATCTCAATTTAAGCATAACTCCTCACTGTTTTTAGGCCACGTAAATACAGATTGTGAACAAATATGTAAATGTGAACAAATTCACACTAAATACAGTCAGGTAATTTGTAATTAACAATAAAGTATTTAACAAACACAGTGTGTTAAAAAAACAAAGCAACATAAACAGATTCTGGGAACGCTGCTGACCGATGACTCAAATATCATAATTTTATAAAGTAAAGTAAAAAATAAAATTAATAAAAAATAAATAAAATAAAATATTGAGTGAAAATGAAATAAAAGAAGCTTAATAAATATAAATTATTTAAAAAATGAAAGCTAATAAAAAATGGACAAAAAACATGAAATTACTAACACCTAAACTTAAATTAAAACGAATACTGAAAATATAAAATTAAAAGCCAATTCAAAATATCAATAAATTCTATAATAGTATATTTTAAAAAAATGCTAAAATGGTATGGTAATCATAACAATACTACTTTTTTTTTTTAGACCATCTATAATATCATAAATGATGCAAATGGTTCATTAATATTGCATGACTATTCAGTACCATGATATAAAACAAATACCATTGTACTGCCATAACACCACAGTACATTTCTAATGCTATTTCTTTTCTACCACAGCCCCACAGTACTAATGGTTTCTAATGGTCCAG